TTCATAAATGAGAGACAGAGGTAACCATGAAACTCTGAGGGGATAGACGTGTAAGCTGTGAAAAATGAGAGTAGTTTGCACAGATAAACAGGTATATTCTGACATAAATATTAATAAAATCTCAGGTTACACATTATGTGGGATTTCTGGTTTCTTATGTTTAACTTCAGATATGAAAACATTTGTCTCGGTTTAGTGCACAACATGCCCCCCCACTGTCGGTATCAACCTCAAAAATCTGTCTTCTGGTTCCATTTGTGCAGGAACTGTACAATGACAGATTCTCCTTGGCGACCTCCCATGTGTGAGCCATCCAGGACTGGCTACAGCAGCTACACCAGCCCTAATGACAGACTGAATAAGAGGCTGGGAGCCAGCATGCCTAACCTGGAGCAAACTGCCAGTGATACTATGACTGCCATCAGTCTCAGAAAGATGACTCCTGATATTGGTCAGTATCAATGGACAATAATGAAATGGATAGAGAGTCACTTAAGTCACTTAATGTAATAGTTCCTTGTCTCCTTCCAGGGTTGAAGAATCCTCAGAAATTGGTGAAGGTTTTCCGTTTGCCAGACTTTCCCCCTACTTTGGCATATCATTATGTCCAGAAATATTATTCCGACATGGTGATTTCACTGGGGAAGGCTATTAACGCTACACCACCTGATGAATCTGCTCTGCTGGCCAGGTGCTGTGAGGACAATGCAAAATAAATGGATGCCACAGCCATATATAAATATATAAAGTACTGTATTTGTAAGATTCAGGTTCGATCACTACAGTGTTCTACAAATTTTCAGGTGTAAATCATTGATACAGACCAAACACGTCCTTACAAATTATGTATATATGTATCTCAAGAAAACCAGCTGACTTTTTACCTTGTCAGACCTAATTCAGTGCATCTGTGTTTTTGTTCAGGTACCACTACCTGCGTGGTTTGGTAAACACTGTGTCAAAGAGGCGCCTGGATGCACTGGAGGACTTCCAGAGTCTCTATAAGACAGACTCTGATATCTTCCCATCTCAGATGGCCAAATCACTGGTTGACTCGCTGCCAGAAGCTGAACGGCTACAGGTCAGCCCAAGCTATCCTGAATGAAGACACTGTGTTGTATTGAACTGATATGGAGTTTCAATATTCAAAGCCACTGCCAGTTTGTGTTTGAGTAACCATATTATTGTTACTTTATCTAAAACTGCCCGCCATGACATCACTTGGGTTAGGTGTAATACTCAATAAAAAGCTTCAGACTCTCCTTATCAATGACATCGGGTATATTAATATGTTGTCAGTGACTCAATTGTTAATGTTTGAGCTGTATCAGGACCTGAAGCTGTGGACAACTTCAATTATTTTGATGATTCTAACCATATTTTTTAGCACTGTAACCATATTTGTAAAAATCTCTCCACAGGCAGACAAACGACCAGAACTCAAACGACTCATCAGTCGGCTGAAGAGGGACCAGGAGCGGGAACGTGCATGCCACGGCAACAGTCATGAGGAAGATGCCGTGAAGCACTTCCAGCTGCCAAGCAAATACATGCAGCTGGAGGAGTTTGTGAAATGTGTCCAAGAGTCTGGCATTGTACAAGATCAAGGAACCATACACAGACTCTTTGATGCTCTAACTGTTGGTAAGTGCTGTAGTATACTGCATATATTGTACATACATGTACACTAATCACATTATGTACTGTAAATGTGCATTCATGAGAGCAGCTCAGGCCCTCTCTGTCCTGCAGACCTTTGCTCACAAACTCCATGGTCTTGTACAGTCAGTGCCTCAACACAGACTCACACCTTCATGCACATAAATATTTACCTATACCCTCCTTCTTCCCTTGTCTAGGCAAATATTTATTTCCCTGATTAATCATTAACTCACTGCTTCTTGAAAAAAGAGTTTGTACTGGTGTTGTAAGTGTAACCAGGGCTCCAGTGATCATTTAGTGCTGTTTAACTGGTGGCCAGTGGAATTTTGAGCTACATATCATGATGAACATAACCACGTACCATTTGGTCCATCCTGTCTGACATGTGACCTTGCCTCAACCTTGGCATTATTTTATTTTTATTTTATAGATTTAGACAATGTTCTTGCTCTGACCAAAATTCTGCTGTACAATGAGCTTAACTTCATGCATTATAAACATTATGAGCAGCCACTAGCCAATATTTCTAGCCAGTGTGAGAGCTGCAATAACCTGACACTATTCCTGTAAACTTAGGTTGAGCACGTTGGCAAGGAGTCAAGGAAAAGATATGAGTCATTAAAGCTCTGCATCGAGTAATAAATAAGAGATATTTGTTTTAAGAGCTCAGGAGAGGAAGGCAGCTGGGAGAGGGGGACCAGAGGTGCTTTTTCAGAAACTGAGGTTTTAGTCAGTGTGTACTGAGAAGTAGGAAAGAAGGTCAGAGCAAGAAATTATCTTGCTCCACATGTTGTTATTGGAAAAAGAGGTTTATGTCGTGTTGGGTGTGGTGAGCAGGTTTTCCTTTTGTCGTTTGACCTGCACTTTAGGGAGACATGCAGACTGATCACAGTGTTGAACTCCTGCTGTCACAATACTATTCTGTATTTCTTTGGCATGGTAAAGGAGGTTTTCACTGAAGTTAATTATTTCCTTTTGAAACGTGATGGTGACTGGGTGAGAGGGAGGGCACAGACTCTGAGTATTTCTATAAAGGCTGCTTAGTTGGCCATTTATGGGTAAATGAAGATTAAAATAACGTTTTAAAACATTGTCACAAGTCATCAGTTTTTGCCAACACGGCAACATGTGATCCTAATTGTGAGAGTTTGTTTGTTTGTGTTTGTTGCAGGGCATCAGAAGCAGGTTGGTCCAGACTTGTTCAGCGTGTTTTATACCATCTGGAAAGAGACGGAGGCTGAAGCTCAGGAGGTGTGTACATACTGTATGTTTTGTTTGTAACATATGTGCAATGGCAGTATTTATCAAATACTGGTCATGTAAACTGCAAGCCATGTTTGCATATATAATAAAAGAGTTTCAAATATAGGTGGAAAAATCAACATTTTGTGTTTGTCAGCTGATGATGATTGAAAAGAGCTGTTGTACCTCTGTTAATATTAATGAAACATTTACCACTTCCTGCTTTGCAAACTAGGAATTTTCCTCTTTTGTCTGTTGTCTATTCTAGATGATTATGATTGCTGGAGAAAATAAAAATCTGAAGATTAAACAGTAATGGAAATAAGTCAGTTGCAGGCTTAAAACACATCACTAACATCAACATCAATTTAAAGCTTATTGTGAGAGTAACGTCCATCAGTCAATGTTTCTGCTTTTTAAAAATAGGGTGTTTAATTCACATTTCCATGCAGTCTAGCAAACACAGATGATGCTAGACATGCACAGCTTTAACATTTATAGCATGCTTATACTCAGATTATGGGTTTGACTGAATTGAGGTGAAATTGGGTTGCAAATGCCTGCGGTAATTGAGGTGAAATTGGGTTGCAAATGCTTTTGGACTATATTCCAAACATTCCCTCATAAATTTAATTTAATTTCTTGACATCGCTGCCAATAATGGCCCATAATAAAAAGCTGCACTGTTTAATGAAATCAGCTGCTGTGGAGCCAAAATGAAAACTAGCGTCCATGTACAGTAGTTCTCAGTTTGTCTGGCACCATGGCCAAGGATGAATCAGCAGAAAGTAAAGCTTTTACACTACTGAATCCTTACCTGTGTGACGTTCAGGTGTCCCTGCCTGCATCTGTCTTGGAGCACATTGACCCCAGCGAGTGTGTCTTCAAGCTGTCCTCCTCAGTCAAGACGAGCCGTGGCATGGGGAAGATCGCCATGACTCGACGACGGCTGTTCCTTCTAACCGACGGACGACCAGGATATGTGGAAGTGGCACAGTACCGAGATATAGAGGTGAGACAAAGAGGAAAGATGAAGAATGGTGGGGTAATTGAAAAGTGATGAAGAGTAGTTAAGAAGTGTTGTTTTTATCAAAACTAAAAGCTTCAACATTTTAGAAAGATCCAGTCAATCATCAGGATCAATCCCAAATATTTTTATCCTTAAACATAATCTCTTTTGTTTTAGGAGGTGAAGGTGTCTTCCACTCCCTTCCTGCTCCTGCGAATCCCCAGTCTGAAGCTGCGTGTTCGGGGAAGGAAGGAAGCCTTTGAGGCCAATCTGAAAACAGAGACTGAACTCTGGAACCTGATGATTAAAGAGATGTGGGCTGGACGCAGCATGGCTGACCAGCACAAGGTAAAGCTGTGTGTGCATGGCAATGTGAGGGTAAAATAGTGTGTGGGAGATCAGGTGCAGCAGAAAAGAGGAATAAATGCATGAGGCGAAGATGATTTGGTGGGGTTTTGTGTCTCTGTTACTCATAGTTTTCCATAATCTGGGTATTAGTTGCTGTGTGTGTGTGTGTGTGTGCATCAATACGCACTGTTGAACACAGACAGGTTTCCTTTGTGAAACCAGATGATGTAACTGCAACATATGTCTCTCACTTGCGCTGCTTCTCTCTCATCTTTCCTTTCTTTTCTCTCATTTACATTTCCCTGTAGTCTCTCAGTGCCCCCTATTTTCCATCTGTGCAGTCAAGCGGTGTGTTATGAGTTAACATTTTTTTTCTGGCCTGTTTGTCAAGATGAATAAGCATCAGTCAAAAAAAAAGTCTAAAACATTAATTGTGCTTCTTTAAACTGTTGCATGCTCTTTTTAAGACCACGTTAGATTCAAAATTAAATCGGTGATGGCATTGTTCTTAGGCAGCACGGTGGCACGATGGTTAGCACTGTTGCCTCACAGCGAGAAGGTTCCGGGTTTAAGCCCCGGCCCACCTGGGGCCTTTCTGTGTTCAATATATGGTTTTATGTGTTAAATGTACAGTAAATGTAAATGGCTGTTTCCCTCCAGGACCCCCAGTACATGCAACAGGCTCTGACCAATGCCTTGTTAATGGACGCAGTAGTGGGCAGTCTTCAGAGCAGCAAAGCCATCTACGCTGCTTCGAAGCTGGCTCACTTTGACCGCATCAGGATGGAAGGTAGAGGGGGTGATGCTGGTCAGATGTCATGAAAATAAAGTCAAACACTGTTATGGTCATTCCAATATTTAGAGTAGAAATATTACATTAATATTATTAAATACTTGTACATGGTGTCTGTGCCTCGCTTGTCACTGAGTCTCTTTTTGAAGGTAATGAAAAACCTGGTTTGACATTTGTTGGAAACTTTTTATCCTGTTTTAACTCAGCAGAGCTAGAGGTTTGTTTCTCTTTAGAGTTTCTACTGTGTGTTTCCGCACTCACCACCTGGTAAAGGTTAGTTATTTCTCTTTTGTGTCTCTCCAGTCCTGATGATGGTTCCCAAGACAACTGCAGAGATGCTGAAGCACAAAATTAACCCCTCACTGGAACTTGCTGCACCTCAGGCTGTAGATGTGCTGCTATACACACCAGGTACAGAGGCACACCTTGACAAGGCGTCCTGTCACTAAGCAATATTTCCAGTTCTTATTGTTACTGCAATTAGAAGCATCAGGTTCCTCTTTGTCTGTGATTGGTCAGTAAGAGTCTGTGATTTGATTGGCTGTTTGTGTTGGGTCACATTTTAAAACCTGGACTGTGAAACTGCTCTGGTGCTCCAGTCACAGGCACATACTGGCTAGTACGCACACACCCACATACAGATGACCACTCATGATTAAAAGACTGACCATCATAAATCTGTATATAAAGTTTCTCAACAACACTTTCACCTCTGGTTCCCTTTACAGGAAATCCACAAAAGGAAGTTGGCCAATTTTAGACATATTATTGTGATAGAAGCCTCTCCTCAGGGCTGCTGTAACAAAGGGTCATAAATAGACAACTTGGCCTCTCCAGTGAGACAGACTGGCATATTATGCAGCAAGAAGACTGAGAAGGAGCCTCTTAAAAGGACCTACAAAGCAGTGGCCTTCAGTGTACAGGCCACTGGGGCCACTTACATGGCTGGCTGGTGGCAAACTGACCCCCAGCACTAACACACTCTTGCACACTCGTATTCAGTGATCCAGACTTATACAGCAGTCAGCTCTGTGGAATTTTTTTTTTTTTGGTCTCTCCCCTTCTCTCGTTTGAATATAGGTCACAGAACTGAATTCCTGGCACATGGCTGACTCGATACTCTTTTTCCAGCCCCTCTCTCTTTCCCCTGTCTTCTCCCGTCTACCTCTCGTTTCTCTTACTTTCTATGTCAAGCTTTTTCCAAGCTCTCTCATTCCCCTCACATCCACAGTCACCCGCCCTGTTTCTGTTGTATAAATTACAGGATGTTACTTTCTGTCTTTTTCCCACCATTGGTGCTTTTAAATAGCAATGAATACGTTAGAGGAAATTTGACCATTAGCTGAAGCCTGGGTGGAGTCAGGATGCAGAAAAATAGTATTCAACATGAAGTGTTGCCATTCAGACTGTTCCATCGTCACTCAGGGAAAACATTGTAATATTTCACAACACAAGTCACTGAGTTGTTTTCTTACTGTCCACACGACTTCAGAGTATTATGAAAGTGACTTCAAAATTTTGGTAAAGTGATTTAGTAAAAGGTTTCAGTTAGTGCTGGAATTCATGTTTTTTCTTTGCCTTAGAAAAAGAGTGAACACTAGCAGCTTTAGGTCACACGTTTGTGATAAGGTTCTGAGACATAACTGATAAATACTGTGTTTATGTGTGTGCACATGTGAATGCTTGTTTCAGGTCAGCTGTGGGTGTCTGTGTGTGGTGGGAAGGTGATGGTGTTTGATGTCTCCAGCTGGTCCCTCACACACACCTGTCAAGTTGGGAATGCAAGACTGGTAAAAAAAAACAACAACACAGTGCATACAGACGCACACTGCACACTAAAACACAAATGCAAATAAATGCACAAAAACACAGAGATGCAGTAGAAACCAAGAGACACAGGTATGGAGTAGTTTACAAGTAGTAGGTTGTGTTTTGTAGTGAAGTGCCTCAGTTTATTAGAGCACTATTACCACCTAGTGGGTGAATTTGGTATTGCACAGTGAATCTCCAAGTCCAGCTTGATGCCTATTTATTGGAAGTGTGTAAATGACAAGTTGCTGTTTTACAAGATGTTGTGTGCTACACTTACCTGTTAGGAAAAGACCTACTGTAGACAAATCTAACCTTCTTTATATAAGGGCTGCAACTAATCAATGTACAGATTATTTTCCCATTTGTTTGGTGCATAACAAGTCAAAAAAGTGCTCAAGACAAGCAAAACACATGTATATAGTTACACAAGTTGTAGTGTGTTCAGTTTAAAAAAACCCAAGTCATCAATTTAATTGTGTTGTTTTGTCTGACCAGCAGTCCAAAAACCAAAAGTAGACACCTGTTTGTTCCAGTCTTTGTAATTGTGTGACTCCTGGTCAGGATGGTGTCTTCCTATCTCTGTTTTCAGAACTGTATGCTGGGCGTTGACAATGACCAGGTGTGGATGGGCTCTGAGGACTCTGTCATCTACATCATCAGCATGGTGGCCATGGTCTGTAACAGACAGCTGACTGAACACAGGGCGGAGGTCACCGGACTGGCATTTGACACAGATAAATACAGGTGACACATACATACGCACACAGTCAGACTCACAAATGAAGAAAGAACCATCTTGACTGCCAGAAATGGATCATATTCTGTCCTGAAACTTTAATGCATTATTTTGCCATGTTCACTCTTTGTAATTTGAACCTGCTGTACAGAGAATAGATGGAAGTGCCTCTGCTTTGTCCGTTATGATTTCAAGACACCTTATCATGCAGTATTGCTTACTTTTTCCTATTAAAGCAAATTACATGTTTGGGTGTAAAGTAAATGATTTATGTGACTGAAATGTTGTTCTGAATGGTATAAGTGTTTAATTACACCAATCAGCCATAACATTATGACCACCTGATTAATACCGTGTACGCAAGAGTCAGTGAAGCGGTTGGTTGGGGGGGTGTTCCTGGAGGGAAGAGGCACAAACAAACTGTTACCAAGGTGGGTGGGGTCTGCAGCAATCCCTCCAGCCCTCCTCTAGATGCGGTCAGTGTATAGTGAGTCCAGATCCAGAAGAGGACTCCCTTCAATGCCCTGAGCTGTTCTCACCACCCGGGTCAAGTCCTTTCTGTCCTGTGCAGTGCAGCTCCCGTACCACACTGTCACACTGAGACAGAGGATGCTCTCTACTGTCGCTCTGTAGAAGTTTGCGAGCAACTGAGAGGAGAGACCAGTGCATTTCAGCTTCCTGAGGAAGAAAAGCCTTTGCTGGTGTTTCTTCACCAGGTAGGATGTGTTCAGAGACCAAGCCAGGTCAGATGTGATGTGGATGCCCAGGAACTTGATGCTACCCACTTGCTCCACCACCTCCCCGTGTATGAGAAGAGGAGCATGTTTTGTCTTCCTAGACCTCCTATAATCCACAATGACTTCCTTAGTCTCGTTGGTGTTCAGGACAAGGTTGTTATCTGAACACCACCTTGTCAGGTGCTGGATCTCCTCTCTGTCGACCATTCAGTGATATCTTGTGTAAAAGGAATGACAATTGTGGTTGTGAGGACAAGTTAGAGATCATGTTTTAGAAAAATTCAACAGCCTCCCCACTCTAAGTGTGATATCACCACTATAGCTGCTGAATGTTTGTCTTCATACAGACTGATGCAGACAGATACAGTATTTCTCATTTTAACAAAGATTCAAACAAAATGGAATCTTTTGAAAAGAACAAATGAAATTTAAAAGTTTGAATTACAGTAGATCAACCTCATCATCAGTGAGCCTTGGGCGTCCATGACCCTGTCGCTGGTTCACTGTTGGTAGGTACTGACCACTGCAGATCAGGAACACCCAACAAGACCTGCAGGTTTGGAGATGCTCCGGCCTAGTCGTCAGCCATTACAAGCCTGTGTCAAAGTCACTCAGATCTTTACACTTACACCCATTTTACACTTCCAAGACATCAACTTCGAGGACTGAATGTTCACTTGCTGCCTAACATACACACACACACACACACACACACACTGACAGGTGCCTTTGTTAAGATATTGTCCATGTTATTCACGTCACCTGTCAGTGGTCATAATGTTATGGCTGGTCGGTGTATAATTTAACACTTAACCAATGTTTGTTTTGTCATGCTAGTAAATAAAATTCTATTTAACTGAGCTGAACTGAGAAACAGCTCCGTAATGCAGCAGACGTGTGTGCAAATAAATTCTAGATCACAGTGACAAAGTGTTCAGTTGTACACAACAAATCTTACTATTCTACTTTGTTCCTTAGCCAGAAGGTGGCGTACTCCTGCAGCGCAGAGGGAACTGTGATGGTGTGGGATGTGCCAACTTTGCAGGTCAGTTTTAAACCAACATTTGTCGATGGTGTAAACTGTTTTTATTGCTTTTTGGTACTCAATAAAGAAGCATGGCATATACTTGAATACATCTTGAATTAGTAGTTTACAGCTTTGGAAGTGATTTAGTTTGGCTAATTCAAGGAACAACTTAAAAATGTAACTTTGTCAGATGAACACACTGGTCAGAGCTGCTCCTCGCCAACTCTTCTTTTTGATGTGCTCGTTTTCCAGTTATTTTCCTGTTTTAAACCAAACTGTGAAGATTTATTTTTCATAATTGTGATTTGTGTCTTAAACCACTCAGGTGAAGAAGCACTTCCGACTCTCCTGCGATCACCTGCAGTCTGTCCACAGCCTCAACGGAACACTGTGGTGCTGTGAGTCTCACACATTTACAAGAGCAGTATACAGGGAAAGTCCTTGAGAGGAGAAACCAAATAATCTCTACCTGCCTGCAGGCTTCTGGGACAGTATAATGGAGGTGTGGAGGAACGGCTCATTGAAACATCAACTGACACCACCTGAACCACAAAAAGGATCCCCAGCTGCATTCAGCTCCATGCTGCTGTTACCTGAGGTACTGCAAATAAAGTTGTCTGTACATGGTGTTTAATCTTTCTTGGTGTGTTAGTTGTTTTGTTTTTATCTGTGGCCACATGTGGCTTCTATTTGACCTGTTTTTGGGTGTGTTCCTGCTTGTGTGTGCCAGAGGGAGGAGCTGTGGACTGTGTGCATAGACTCGGGAGAAGTGTATATTTGGCACATTAAGGACGCTACCAAACCGTTCCACAGCGTGGCTCTGCAGGACTGCACCAGATGTTTCTGCATGATTAAAGTTAAAAATCAGGTCGTTACACAGTGCTGACACACACACATACACACAAACAAACCACATTATGGTCTTTTAAAATCCTCGTTTTTCTTTCCAGGTGTGGGTTGGTGGTGTAGGCCGCAGTTCAACCAAAGGGAAGATTTATATCGTGGACACAGAGTCCCGCCAGGTACTGAAAGAGCTTCACGGCCACAACGACAAGGTGGTAGCCCTCTGCTCTGCTGAGGACCGGTACGTCCTCAGTGGAGCTGGCAAACTTGACGGAAAGATCGCCATCTGGAAGGTGGAGTAGCGAGGTTTACTGACTGAAAATGGACAGAGTCCCTCTGTGGATACTATTCCAGGACATCCCGTGAACTTGTTAAAGGACCCCAGGTGGAGATTCTGTGGGAAAAGGAGCGAAGGTCTGTTTGGCAAATAGAGTAAAAGGGAGGAATAGAAGTCACAATCTTGATCTGCCTCTGCATCACAGATGTGAAGGAATCACATGTCAGTCATGTGAAGCAACAAGTTTACATAAAGTGTCACCAGCTGAGCAACTTCTCCAGCCTGTTATGAAATGGTGATTTGCAGCATTAGTATGTTTTTTTTTTTTCTTATATGAAGGATAAATGTAGAATGTAAAGAAAGGTCATCTTGGGTTCTGCTGAAATTGTTATTAATCTAAAGTGCCTTGATTTTCTGAAGGTTTTTACATTTGTACTTCTTATATGAAGGACAAATGTAGAATGTAAAGAAAAGTCACCTTGGGTTCTGCTGAAATTGTTTTAAATCTAAAGTGCCTCAATTTTCTGAAGGTTTTTACATTTGTACTATTAACAATATAGTTATTCCATGTCTTAACATACCCTATTTAATTTTAGGTTTAACCACACTAGAGTCAGGGGGGAACAGTGTGTGACTGAACCTCACCTCCCTCTTGTGTTTTTGAGGCTAATCTCTACTGTTCCAAAGAGTCAGATTACCCTGAAAACAATACTCCCTCGACTTGGGATTTCACCACTGCTGTGGGAAAGCCCTGATAAGAGTTTGTTTTGACGAATGTGATGCTTTAATGGACAGTGTAAGGTGGAGAGTGAAGGGAAACATGACAAAAGGTGATGCACGATGATGGGAGCTGCACACAAACTCATAAAGTACAGCAACGTGTGTGTGTGGGAGCATCTCCAGAGAAATCAGTTTAGTCCTGCAACAACAAGAATTTTTCAGTGATTAATAACATAATATAAGTACTAATCCCACAGTAGTGAGACCAGATGCTTACGGCATTGCTGGACAGTTTCTACATTTTTTCTTTATCTATGCTACCAGGCACTTGGTTTTAACAGAGAGTGTAGCGATATGTTAAATGTAATATGGCAATATGTTTTTATATGAAAACTGACAGAAGATGTGAGGTCAAAGTCAAGAAAGTCAACCAACAAACAAGTCAAAATTCCTGGCTCTAAAATGCCAAATGCATATTAAACATTCAATTATTTATCATTTTACTTTTGAAGACCAAGCAGTAAAATGCCCACATATGTGTGTTTGTCGTATGTACATTTTATAAGTTTTTTTTTTTTTAATGTAGCTCTTACTATTACATTAATGTTTAAAAGTCATTATTAGTGGGATTGAGTTGGTTCACAGAAATATTTTTGCATTTTGGGGACACTTGTGGTTCAGTCCGGTGGTTCTTAGACTGTTAATAAGATGTTTTAACCATCAATGACCAAAGTAAATACACTTCTTAAATAAAGTCCTGAGTTTCTTTATTTTTTTAGCAGTTTACTCTCACAGTGGTTACAGAGGACATTCACAGGACAGGAAAGCAGAAGACAAGTTATGCTACAGAAAATCTTAAAATTATGGCCATCCCTGAAATTAATAGTAAGCAAATTACTTTCTCTAGTTTATGGAGTTAAAATTGTGAGGACTTCGAACCATAGACTGAATGCACCATACAGATTGTTGTGCACTACTTTGAGTTCACCAGAAGATGGTGCTGTATGATGTCATGTTAAAGTGGGGACATGCGGGACAGAGAGTTTACAAAGTCCGGTTTCCTAAATCATAGCCTACAATATCAACATAATATGACTGCAACAAGTGACTAAATGATATAAAAAATCTTGATCATTTAATCTGTCAGTGATTTTCTTGGCTAATTGATTAAATGGTTTGTCAGAGTGAAAAGTGTCCATTAATTTCTCCAGGGGCCATGGTGGTATTATCAGTCCTCTTTGGCCGCCCATGAATTCAGCACACCAAAGATATTTAATTCACTGTTTGTATATGACAAAGAAAATCAGCAAAAACAAACAAACAAAAACTCTGTTAAATACAGTAATTGTCAGCAGATAGCACAGCAGAAAAGTGGTTAGCTCTATCACCTCACAGCAAGAAGGGTACAGGTTTGAGCCCGGGCCCACAGTCCAAAGATGTGCAGCTTAGGTTGACTGGCGACACTAAATTGTCCCTAGAAGTGAGTGTGTGTGGTTGTTTGTCTACATGTCAGCCCTGTGATAGACTGGGGACCTGTCCAGGATCCTCAGCCTATCACAGTAGATCCCTGCAGCCCTAGTCAGGAATAAGCTGTATAGATAATGGATGGATATTTGTCTTTTTTCTGACTGGGAAGCAGAATTGTAAGAAATACACTGTTCACCCTGCTCAAGTGTCCTTGAGCAAAATACAGAGTCCCTGTAGGGGCACTGCTCTGTGAATGACCTATGACCTTCCCATTGAGCTGGTTGAGGTGTTTTTACATCAAAGCCCTGCTGAAACCCCCTTCAATTGAGCTGGTTGAGGTGTAATAACATCAAAGCCCTGCTGAAACCCCCTTCAAACACTGTGCACGGATGTGTAGTTGTATGCGGTTGTCATTCTGCAAATGTTTGTATGTGTATTGTTTTGTTATATACTGTAAGCAATAAGCAGCTGTTAATCTCTCACTGTGCTGGTCCACTCGTGCCTCGGCTGCAGTGGAAGATAAGTTGTTTTTTTGTTTCTCCTGCAGCTCTTAACCAGTTTCCTCTAATCCACAGACATTTACTTACAGGAAGAGAGTGTTGGATCCAAAAAGGAAAGAACACAGTTGCTGTTTGTGCTGCAACTTAAAACCTGACTAGAAAAACTCAGTAGTTAGAGAATTGGTTAAGATGACACACTTTGGACTCTGTTGTTCCTGAAAGTACAACTTAAAGACAAAACAGATGCTATTCCTATTTGAAAACATCAAAACCAACAATTTTCTTCATCTCTAAATGCTATATGGTTCCCTACTCTGTCTGTGACAGTATGACACTATGTAAACCTTTTAAAACATCTCCATGTTTTGTGTTATCACAAAGCATCAGGGCACTCTAGTTTTCATAGAATGTTACTCAAACTGAAGGAACTAGTGCATTTACTGGAAATTATTAATGGCAGTAGGATGATGGTAGTGGGATTAAGGCCGGTGGCATGTTAGCCAGTGAAATACATGCAAGCTCATATTCTTGGTAGATTACTTTTTAACAAAATGTATTTCTGCTATTTAACCTGTGATTGTAATATAACTTTCTAGGGTTGTAAAATCCAGTTAGTGTTATAAACTGCTGTGCAGTGTTTTGGTATCTGAGAAACTCAGGGATCATTTACTCAAACTGGCCTTTCTAGATGAACTGGACTTGACAAATGTACTGCAGAATATCAGGTAACAGACATTTAATTGGTGAGACAATCACTTTGGCTGAACAGCCACAGGTTAAATTCCCCAAACACCAGTTAGTCCTGCATAAGTGTTCTTTATAAAAGAACATGGACCTAGTATGTCTTTATGGACATACTAGATCCATGTTCTTTTATAAAAGAACACGGATCTAGTATGTCTTTATGTTCAGTGTTGGAAGAAGTACTTGGATCCCTTAAGTAAAAATAGAAATACAACAATGTAAAAATAGTCTGTTACAAGTAAAAGTCCTGCATTCAAAATGTGATTTTAATGAAAGCATAAAAGTAATAGCATCAAAACCTGCTTAAAGTACTAATAAGTGTGGATGCTCCTTCAGAGGGAGATTCAGATTTTTTTTATTTATTTTATAAATCTTTACACAAAATTGGTCAAATGCATCATTAATTCCACTTTATACCGATTCAGCAGACGTGCCATCAATATAATAACCCCAAGTCATCACCCTTTGAACTCCATGAGCACAATTTTATCCGGGTGAAAACACTAAGGACCATATCTTGCAAAGAAGAAGAGGGTGTGGGTTCGCCACAATCAGCTTTTCCTCCATTTTCCTTGTGGTCTGTCAGTTTCTCTGCAATTTGATGTAATGCTGTAGCCCTGTGGGCCTGTAGGGGAAGGCAGTGATGAAAGAAGACCTCATCACACACACACAGAGCTCACCTCACTGAGGCTCAGGACAGAGCTAGCGAAGTATATACTTCGTTGATATGATCTGCATTATGGTCTTAGTGCAGATCAATAAACTACAGGTTTCATTACACTCATAACTGCTGTTGAACAATGCTTTTACTAAAAAAACATGTTTTTATAGTTTTTATAACATCTTTATTTTGTTATTTTGCTGTCTTACATCTCAAAAATAAATTTAAATTGTACCTTTTACAAAAAAATATGACATCAGCTGATATAATACATTCTCATACTAAAATATGACTGATGTGGGTGCTTTACTGTCATGGTGTTACATTTGACCCCACTCATCATTTCCCTCTGAAATATAGTGGAAAGGAAGTGTAGATATGGATAAATTGACATACTCAAGTAAAGTACGAGTACATAAAAGCTGTACCTGAGTGAATGTCTACCAGGAAAAGCAAATCTTACGGTATTCTCCTTTAAGGCCACTCATCTTCCTTGTGTACCACTGCCACGGCCCCGCCCATTTATGCAAATCAGTTGTGACGTCGGCGGAAGCCAGCGCTACGTCTCTTCTTCCGACAGATATCCCTTTAAAGGCGCATTTAAACCCCTGGCTTCAGTTGCAGGAGCAACAGACAACCTATGCAATAAAGCCTACAGCGGAGCTGAGTGACTGTCCGAGCGTCAGCGGACTAGAGCACGGAGCCAGCGGCTGACACAACCCGGCGAGGTGAGCGCGGTGTCCGGTTAAAACACCGGCGACGACAGGGTACGGGTATGAAACAATTGCTGGCCGCTGTCGGCTCCGGCAATAAACAGCATCTCAGGTTGCTGCTGCTGCAGAGAGAGAGGGAGGGGGGGGAGGAGGAGACGGCATATTCAGTAGTTTCTGTAGGCCTGTGTCAAAAACAAAAACAGCCAGGCTGCATAAACAGGTTGTTGTACTTATAAAGTGAGGGTAGTTAGGGGTTGTGAAGACGGTGTAAGGGGAAAGCAGGTAAAGGTTTACAAACAGTAGATGCCCAGAGTTACAGCTTGGGGGTGAAAGCCCCATTTCCTTCATCACTTCATCTTTATAATTTAACCAGGAAGAGGTTTGCTGTGGTGGCTGATAATGATTAAAGATATAAACAAACCTGTATGGTTTTAGTCCGGGCTGCTGCTCTTGCAGACTACAAATAAAGGATGACCTGGTGTCTAGTCCCTTAGTCATCCTTTTTTGATGTGTTTATATGTTCCCAGATGTGAGTGTTTATAAAAAGCACAAGACTTAGAGCTTCAAGTCAGTGTTAATTCAACAGTAAAAATCTATCATATGCTGTCAGGAATCATTTATATTCTTCTTTAATGTACATCCATTTCATATTGCGTACTAACTGGAAGCCTCCATTAGATCGATCTCGACAACTTCACACTTGATTCTACATACATTCTGCATTTAAGTGGAAAAAAATGTGAGTTGAAATATGATTTTGCCTGCTGCAGCTCTGTCAACTTACTGGAGCAAAGGCAGAATGATAGAAGAGTTACTAGAGAGAACTAGTGTTTTTCTGGGTTTTATGTGTTCTGGTGTATTGGAGACTACTGGATACACTTCATGCTTGTGTGCATGAGACAATACAGTATGAGCGCATGTTCTGTATTGATTTAATGTACAGTAAGAGCTGAAACACTGTGTGTGTTTGTGCCTTTTGGTAAGTGTTGATTCAGTGGCTCTTAACGCATCGTTGTCTGTATGATTGCAGGTACGACTGCTTAATATTGCAGCCTGGACCAAACGACAACATCTCAGCGACATTTATGAAGCTTTCAAGGTCTTTTGGTGAGTCAGATTTCCACACAGAAACATCAGAGAGGTAGTATCCATTTTCCTTTCATTCACTCATCACTTTGTGTGTGTGTGTGTGTGTGTGTGTGTGTGTGTGTGTTTGTTACTTTTTGATCTGATTGTGGTCTGGACGAACCCAACAGCATCAGCACTAACATGCACAAACACAAAGTGTGCACACTTCTTCCTTAAAAACCTGCCTTTTTGTGTCATGTCGCATGCTAGAAACGGGCCAGTTCAGCTGAAGTGAAAGTAATCAGCTTCCTCTTGATGAAGTGCTTACTAATGATCAGCCGGTGCTGAGTTGGTAACAGTTGGTCACCCAAATGTAGCCTTACACAAGTGGTCACGCGCTGACAGTCGCATGAGCACACACACACACTAATGGACATAAAATCATTTACACAAATGTATACAAACACCCCAGTATACAAATATTCATATACAAAGGCTTTTACTCATTTGCATACATTTCCATGCTGTATGTGGACGATCTGGTAAAGATAAGCGAGGCCAATGATGGCAGTGATGTAAGCGAGACGATGCTCCGAGCAGAGGTGTTAAATAAATACATAACTACTCACACTGGCGGCCGTGCAGAGATGTTGGCTTCTAAAAGGTTTGGGCGAGACTGACCTCTCCAGCAATGAGGGATTTTCAATTATTTCTGCTTAATCAGTAAGTTACCTTCTCATTTCTTGTAGTTTCATAACAGCTGTGTGGTATCTGTTCTTATGGTATCTGTTCTTATGGTGTCTTGTTGCTTGCTCTCTGTTGTTTTTGTCCCTTACTACTGCTGAAACACTGGAATTTCTCCACTGTGGGATCAGTAAAGTTCTACCCTAAGCCCTTAACAAATACCTGAATAGCTGGGCAGAGCATGGCAAAGCATAGCGCTGGGTGGAGCAGAGTGGGTTGATTTAGAGTTTCATGCTAATGCTACCTTAATTTACATAATGTAGCTTAAAATGCAGCACTGTTTTTAGGCTAAGTGCCCAGTAAACCTTTCCTAATTGAACTATTCTTGTATTTCCTATTGAACGGAACCATATTTCCATAAACATAAATAATGTCTTAGGATCACAAGCAGCCAGCCTACTGTACAAATAAGATTTTTTTTGTAGGAGATCCTCACCTTAAAAGGTTTGTTTTAGGAGTTGAACTGTGGTCCAAATGCACAGAAACATACTTATAGAGTCACCCACCAAACTGACTTTGGCGTGCTCTAATACTGCTATGGGATACTGCAATACAAGCCAAAACCAGTACACTCACTGTGACTCCAGATCTGTTTGTTTAATGGTTTCCACACCACATGAAGAAGCTTGAGAGTCTCAGCAGGAGCAAGCTGTAGGTTCTCTGAAACAAAAAGGAGTTCTACTGCAAGGAGGTTTTAGATGATTATCATATATTCTCAATAGCTCTGGTTTTTGATCATGGGGAAAAACACAAATTAACTAAATGTGGAGGTTAAAGGCAAAATTAGGAAAGGTTTACTGGGCACTTAGCCTAAAAACAGTGCTGCATTTTAAGCTACATTATGTAAATTAAGGTAGCATTAGCATGAAACTCCAAATCAACCCACTCTGCTCCACTCTGCTCAGCTCTGCCCAGCTCTTCTGGTATTTGTTATGAAACTACAAGAAATGAGAAGGTAACTTACTGATTAAGCAGAAATAATTGAAAATCCCTCATTGCTGGAGAGGTCAGTCTCGCCCAAACCTTTTAGAAGCCAACATCTCTGCACTGCTGCCAGTGTGAGTAGTTATGTTTTTTTTTTTAACATCTCTGCTCGGAGCGTTGTCTCGCTTACATCATTGGCCTCGCTTATCTTTACCAGATCTTCCACACACTCACACTTGTTGCAGCTATAAATGCGGTTTGTGTTGTTTGAAGCCAGCTGGATTCACAATATTTGGCAACTGAGGGAAAAACTTAACCATTACTTATTTATTTTTTGTCACAGTTTCGGACCCAATAGACAAATTGGAGTGTGATTTTTGTGTAAAGATCTGGTGGCGTGTTGATTTTCTAGGTGGGTACACACTTCTCAGCTACCTCGTTTTGCAGTGTTAGCATCTCTCAAGTTCCCCTTCACACAGCTGAGACCAGGAAAAGCAGAATGTAACTGTTAGAGTTTGGTTCATCTGCAGTCCGATAGCTGTGCGTTGACAGGAGTGTGCAGGTTGTTTTTTGTGTCTGTGTGTCATAGCTCTGTGTGTGGAGACTGTTGGCAACAGTACATGCATGACTGGCTGTTTTTCTAGTGGTGGTCTGTTATCAAAGTCCGTATCAGATGGCAGTACTGTATTTAGCCCTGGCTTTGAGCTGGCTGACCCACACATGACACACATGCAGATATACTTTGCAGCCAGAGAGATGGTTGTTAATATAAAATGTGTTCTAAGAATAGAGACTTTGCTCTTTGTTTGCTTGCTCTTCTTTCAGCTCCCCTCTCTCTGATTTGTTTCTCTTCCACTGCTGCTTTTTTTTTTTTTTATATTTGTGTCTGATTTCTTTGTTAATTTCCATTTTCACACCCACTGAGCTCCAGTCCTGCACCCAGCAGCCACTTCACTTCTGGATTTTACTCCAGGTGGTTTAAACTCGTCACTTAATAACAGAGATGGGCGCTTGAGTTGGCAACTCAAACTTGAGCTGCACTTGTGTCCCACATAGACCTCAGACTTGCATTCTGTGACTTGTGAACATCTCTGCTTAATAGCCATAAGGAAGTTGTATGTGTTCAACAGAGTATTACATTTAACACTGGAGAGAAACGAGCTGGTGTTCACGTTGGGCATTTCAAAAACAGTTCAGAGGTTGACGGTTTATTCTTCTCCTTGGCTCCTTGCAAACCAAAGTCGTACCATAGTGACCATTTAGCAGCAGATCCAGAGCTTTCATTCCTATCGCATATTTTACTCAGCAGGCAGGCGGGTCAACTACAATTGTCAAGGTCAAGAATGAAGTTTCAGTCAGTTTTTGGCTAACGTGGACAAGAAGTGCTTAAAGTTTTCAGAAAAACCTGTTTGTTTTATTGGTTATAAAAACCAAACTGCCCCTCTAGGGCCATTAAGGCATCTATATGATCAGTTCGATGACAAGTGGGGAAACTATCTGTTCCAGTCCTCATGTGATATTACACACAAACGTTTCTTATACTCGTGTGGCTGCACCACTCACTAAATCTCCCCTATTGCACAAGAATCCACCACATGTTTTGATAAAGGTTGTTTTTTTTTTTGTTTTGTTTTTTTTCTCCTTCGGGGCTGGTTAAGTCTGAACTTGGTATCAAAAGCTTGAACAAATTTGGCTTCAGCACTCTTAAAATTTTTGGCCTCTTCTGCCTGTTGTTAATCTTCACACTCCACCAGTGAGCTACGCTCTGCTTTGAGGCCTCTGCACTTTGAGCTGAGTTACTCTCACTTCAGTTTTTAGGTTTTTGTGGGTGAAACAAATGCCACACCCAGTTTTGACACACTTATCTCTGCTTCCTGCTGTGTCACCTAAAGTTTACTTTTAAGTGTATTATGGTTGTGTTACATATCTCACATGCCTGAAAGGCAGGGGGCGGAGACTAACACCCCGTAAATTCACTGTAAATCAAGTGTTTGGAGTTTATATTTACTGTCGTTTGACGCTGACTTTGACAAATAAAGTTATAATTTGCATATTTTATATTTGGCACTGAGTAGGCAGCAAAGGGCATTGTTTACTACAGTCTTTGTGTGCCTTTGGTGTGAAGGGAGTGGAGTTCTTTTGTCTGTTTTTGTAGGTTGTCGAAAACCAATTTGATGAAATGAACAGATTAAAGAACCTGACAGGATTGTTTTCCTCAGCGATCAAAGAACTTCATTACATTGATATAAAAATCACATAACATGGTCTGTGTTATTGGTCTGCAGTATTACCCGCACAGTAAATTTATTGCATATCTTTTTAATGAAAAAGATTGTTTTTTTTTTTTGGGGGGGGGGGGGATGCCCATTTAAAAATTGGCCCTTTCACATGTGATGTGAAAAGGCTGCATTCTCAAAATAATTTCCTTGACTAATAAATGTCAGTGTCTGTAATAATTTCACAGTTGCCCTAGGCAATGTCAATTCAAATTTAAACTGTCAAAAGTACTTTAACACATGCAATAAAAGGAAATAAAATAGGGAATCCTTTGACATAAAAGCCATATGTGAGAGCAGTAAAGGTCTGAGAGCTCCACATTCGCTATAGTATGAACAGAAAGAGGGCTGAAGTGGACCAGAGAGAACCTCAGTCCTCTTTCAAATGTACTCGCAGTATGAACACAATAAGAACTGAGTCCCTTTTTTATTGGTCCCATTTTTGGTCCGTTTTTTAAAGAAGGACTGAGTCTGGTTCACTTAAACGGGACAGAGTATGAAAACACCTTAAGAAAACATTGTAGGTTAATTTTATGTCTGTGAAACTGGTTCTAGATGTGAGCAGTGTTGACAGGCTGCCCGTCAGACAGGTAGACAGGTAGTCTGGTATCTGGGGTGGAGATGACGATAGCTGGCTGTGTGCCATTACTGTCATTAGCACTGTTAGTAATACTGCACTCAAAGTAATGGGAACACACTCGTGCACACACACACACACACACACACACACACACACACACACACACACACCTTTTGAGCTAATGGACTTGTGGTAGAAAGAGGGCTCAACATGTCAGCTTTTTACAAAAAATGTTGATTTCTCACAGAAGTGGACAGACCTTGAAACGGTATAAAACTGATACTTTATAAATCAACTGTATCAGGTAAACAGGCTTGGGTGGCTGTGTGTCACCACCATAAAGTGCTCTGATGCATAGTATCTTACTGGAACAGCAGTGTTTGTGTGTCATTTGCTTAAAGAAGGACTTAATATCTGTTGCTCTTTTGCATTCTCTGTCTGTATTGTGTGTTTGTCCTGTTTTTGTGTCACTCAGTAGGGTGAAGCTCGATTACTGAAGCCTCCTAAGTATAAAA